CTTAAACTGTAAGCCTGTATTGGTAATGTTTCTTTTATTTGGCTGTCGAACATTATTAATGGTCTGAAATATGATTTTATGTAAAATAATTGATATGAAAAAGCCGACTCTTAAGTTATGACCCCATTTCACCACACACAAGTGGCAGAAATGACAATGATCAGCTGACGCATTTTTCTTGGCCGAAGTCAGAGCGCGCGGCCCGAGGCACCACCACCGCACCACAAAGTATGAGCAGAAGCCGCGCCCAAAGCCAGGGCCCCGGTAACGTGAGGTAGCCGAGTCGGGGCAGCGTGCGCTGACCCAAGTCGGGGCCGCAGCTTTGGGCGCGGTCTACCGCATCCCCGCGGGCAGCCCCGGGCTATCACATGACACCGGGAGGACGCGCGGCCCCGGCTTGGGTCAGCGCACGCTGCCCCGACTCGGCTACCTCACGTTACCGGGGCCCTGGCTTTGGGCGCGGTCTACCGCACCACCTAACAGGCGTGTTCGAAACCGCAGTAGATGATGATGAACGGGTTTATCGAAACTTGATTGGATGAGCATATCGGTAATAGCGATTTCAGTGTGTGCATTTATTGTTCATAGTGGTGTGAAATGTGGTTGGGGTACGACCGACAACCCGTCGGGGCGAATTTCGCACTGGGGTACTCAAAATTTGAAGAATTTAAGACGTTTCCATGAGTTTTGAAGGTATGGATAAGTTCTAAAAATCCGGTTCTCCTTATCTGGGCCATTAACTCCATACGGTCCAGGAAAGCTGGCACACTACCTTTAACTGCCGGTGTCCGGTACGCACGAACTAACGTCAGCAGGAAAATTGTTTCAGAATTCAGAGCAGCAGGAATTATCCGGCTGGAGTTATTGGTGACGGGGCCGGGAAGAACCAGTTCAAAGCAAAAGGATGTCAGATGTATGGAGAAGATGGACGATGGATTAATTAATGTGAGATGGGCAATTGACAGTCATCCTTAATGTCATCAGTTCTGTTATAAAAACACACATATGCACACACCATTACCTTCAGTCTGGTCATCAACGTGTTCCATCCACATATTTTGCTGATGTAAAAAGGGGAGTTTTTTTCTAGAAATCATGAGTAAAGACGACTATCTAGCCAACCATTTGTAGTGTCAGCACTAGAGATGTCAATCGGATACCAACTTTTTGGTATACCGATACCAAACCGATACCAACTTGGTATTTGGTATTTCAATCGTAATGTGTTTGGTATTTTGTTGGTATCATTAACCCTCAATAATGTATAAAAGGCTAAGAAATCGGTAAAAAGTTGGTATTTCCCTCAATTTTCCAAGTTGGTTTGGTTTCGGTATTTCCCCATGGTTTTGGTTGGTATTTGGTTTGGTATCGGTATTAAGATTTTCCGTAATTGACATCACTAGTCAGCACTAAGTACCGCCCCACGCTTATTCAGCACCATTACCTATCATTAATAGCCCGCAAATCTGTCTCTATGGCTCCCAATCAATTCAGCAATAAATCCGCCTTCTCTCACCCCCATCCACAACTCCCCTCTCCCCCTCTCCTTGTCCACCGCCCCCCCCCCCCCTCCCCCCCCCCCCCCCCGCCGACCCCCGGGTCACGGGTCGTCTGGCGCGGCTGTAACACGGCCATCACACGGCCAGCTGGAGGGGAGCACGCTTTATTGGCAGTCCGCCTGACCAGACGCCATGAAATTGTGAATCTCGGACGGACGATCAATGACCCACTCTGAGACGGTGGTGCCAGCGCCGACCGGCCGGGCGGGGGGACACTGACGGACACCGGCCGGCCCTTGGGGAGTGGGGACCCTTGCCGGGGTACCGGCCGGTCGGGGCAGCCGCGGCTGGGAGTTCGGGGAGCCAATGGGGGATATCTGGGGTGCCAAGGAGAAGGAACAGGATGAAGTGCGAATGAGTCTATTTAACAGCCAAGTAATGGATCATCAAACACTTCTGATGGAAAGGTTGACGGCTATAAATGAGCATAAAAAAACGGAAAAAATTAAGCATCGGTTGCAAATACCTATGAAAAACGCCTCTAACATCGTTCATTTGCCAATGTGCTCACTTAGTGAAGAGAACTATACAAAGAGAACTATACATACAAAGATTTAAATATCGATAAAAATTAGCACTACCCTTTACGTTCCTCGTTTCTTATTACTCCTTTCTCCCACCGTCCCTCTGGCCAGCCGGGCCCGGCTTCTGACCAATCACCGCAGCGTCCTTCGATACGGTCCCGCTGTGTTTTCCCCACAAATGGTCCGTCTGATTAGCACCGGCACTCGATCACCGGGCGCCGAGTGGCGTTCTGTTGACCCGAGTGGCCCCTGTTGACCGTGTCTACCGACCCCGTTCGCCGCTCTCTGCCTCCGTCAACACAATCACAGCCGCAAACAGAACCGGTAGCGGCCCACTTCCGCTAGGTGAAGACGTGGAAGGGATGACGTCGACGTCATCGAGAGGAGAGGGTTGATGACGTTGGTGTCATCGAGAGGGAAGGGGTGTCATCCAGAAGGAGGGCTGATGGTGTTGATGTCATCCAGAGAGAAGCGAGGCTGATACCCGCCGGGATAATCCCTGATGGTGCGTGATTGACGCTTTGACTATGCTTCAAATGGATCAAGGAGGTTGGCATGATGGGTATTCTCAGATGCCACCTCAGCTGAATGAAGTGTCCTCCTGTGGGAACCCCTCACGGAGAGAGCGGCTGGGCGACCCCGGATTTCTACGGACCAGTCCCGTGAGGCCCGCCATCGGTGTTGTAATGCATAGGCTGCAGCCCCAGGGACAGGCTCGTCTGCTCAACGTCTGAGATACATCGGCTGTTGCTGGAAATCCGCCACCGACCCACTGTTTGGCTGGGTGGACGCGATGTCACATGAGGCTATTTTGTCTTGGAGGTACGCGGTTGACATGTTTGTCCCTCAGCTAGCAAATTAAATTCGATCAATTTTAGAAGAAAACATTCGTTGCAAAACAGTTTAAGGACTAGTAAATGTCGCTCCCTCCCACAAAGAACCAGAGTCATGCCCTGTAACAAAGTTTCAGTTGTTCTGACTTTGTTACGACAGGGGCAAAACCAGCCATCCTCCTGTTGCCGTTGTTATAACTCTCGGCACGGCCGGCCCAACTAATCGTCTGCGTTTCCAGCACATTGAGACATCAAAGGACCCGTCAGAGACAATAGATCGTCACAGGGTGACGAACGGGTCCCCGAGGATAGCAGCAGTCCCGGTCGGTATTTCTGACAGCTCTCTCAGAGATGGGGCAGGGCTGGGACAACGGTCAGCGCGCTGGCGATTCTTACCCTGTAACTGTCGCAGCCACTGACCTCCTCCTGTGACCACTGTGACACTATCCGACACTAATCTCTCCCTAGTGACCTTGACCTGGACAGTTATCCCAGTGACTGTCTGACCCCTGACCTCACGGATCACCCGCCGCTCAAGTCCCATCATTTCGCTCTCTGGATACACGGACGTTATAACACGGCGGTGACCTGCTGAGCACCTGTAGCCTTTGACCTTTGACCTTTCTGAGTGGCCGCTGTCCGCCGGCTGCGGTGGCAGTCAGCACCCGCAGAGGTGATCGAGGAGAACAGAACGGTCGGCTCGTCCGCACCCGGCGACTGCGACGGAGATTGTGATGAATTGTCGGACCCGACTCAACAATGTGACTTCTGAAAAATGGTCACAGGTGGAAGCAGGCGTGTTAGACTATCTGAGGCCAAATAAAAACAAAGAGTTGACAATTGAAACATAAACTGCAAAGGTATCACACGATTATGCCAAGAGTTGATTGCGCTCCTCCTCCCTCCCTCCCTCTCTCTCTCTCTCTCTCTCTCTCTCTCTCTCTCTCTCTCTCTCTCTCTCTCTCTCTCTCTCTCTCTCTCTCTCTCTCTCTCTCTCTCTCTCTCTCTCTCTCTCTTCTTTTTCATCGATATTTAACTGCTTCAGAAATATGCTGCTTCTTCCCCTAGTGAAATCTTATGTTTACTGTAATGAGAGCATGACACATGCTCACTTCTCGTGCTCATACACCCGTACTTGTCAGAGTCACAAAATCTCACACTAAAGTGCTTCAGGGCCCGTGTGTGGTTAAAGCGAGTCTGTCGCTGCCTCTGACAGCTTTCAGACGTGTTGGGCGGCACGGCCTTTTCGTCAGCCGGTCAATTCAGCGAACAATATCGTCTGTTACACACAAGTTCGCAAGTGTTCGCAATTGTCAGCTGCTTCCCGTCAGTTTGTAATTGTCTGTTTTAGGTAAGTTGACTTCACATTTATTTGTAGGACGGAAAACAAGCCGCAGGGGAACACCTAAGGGAAATCCCACAGGTTCCTGTGATGTTGCATTCAAGACGTTTCCATTACAAAATGCGACTCGACAGAATTTATCCGATGCGCTGCTTCACGGGAAATATGTATATTCGAACCAAAGTAGAAATAAATGCGGGATTTGCAGCGCTGTGAGTTCTGGGCTACTTTGCAAAGTTTGTCGTAAATATGCTCAAGATTAGGCAGAACCTGTCACTGCTTAGCAGAAATATGTAAAACATCATGGTATGTCCGCAGCAGCTTTTCGGTGCTGCACTAAATCGTGCATCGGAATTCGGATAGGATTTTGGGTATCCTAGTTAAAAATATTTTCCAAGACCTCAGACGAAACTCCTTCAAGTTCAACCTTTGAATGGCCCAAGAGCTCACTGAGTAATGGCAACTATGTAGTGGTGATGCAGCCAAGAACGTCATTTGGAGCGTCGCAAACGTATTAATTGGTGAGCGGGATACCGGTTGTGGGACATCAATTACCTATACCGACGTGGGATAATTGAATCGATATTGTGATCCTCGGCTGATCTGCTGTTTTGCTTCACAACAGCTTGGCGGTAAACACTTCTTTTTTCCTAAATGATTGTAAAAGAAATGAGGAACTTCGAACGAGTTGAAGGCTGCATAAATTTATCCAAAGAGCATCAACAGCGAAACACAAAATCGCACGTCAACAAGCGTCGCATTCTGGACTTGTATATTTTCCTGTCACACGGTCTGGAATGCTGAACTAATGCACACCCGTAGCTATCCTAACTAATTGAGCAACACCAGGGGAACGGACACCCGCTACACGCGGACCGCTCCGCTTTGAACTACGTTTATGGGTCCAGGCTATCGCCATGCGCGCTTATCAAGGAACATGTCACTCGGTCTGCAACGGCGCAGCTACCGCGTCTCACGGCCACGGGTAACCATGGTAACGCCGCGCTGGTAACATTGAACACGGGTGAGGTGCAATAAGGCACATTGCAGCTGAGCCCGGCGCTGGCATATTGTTACCCCTCAGTCAAGTCGCCTAAATCTACATACTAAATGTCTATCAAAAACATACCAGTGTTATTGTTCTGTTACGCTTTGTCGATTATACGCTGTTGACACCAAATTCTTGTGGCTCCTGGAGGCTTAGTTGTATATAACGAACGCGTTGCTGATATTAAATCCTTTAGATATCCGAGGCAAGCAGTCACATACGGCAGCTCATCTACTATTTATAAATCCTAAAAAGTCCGCCGCCGGTTACTCCCAAAAAGGCTTATTGCGGCGCCGTCGATTCATGCAGGAGGGTGAAATTTTCACGACTCGTGGGTCACGTCATTCAACAGATCGTATTAAATTTTGGGCACGATCCGGCCGGGGGTGCGCCCGTGGCGCGTGCTCATGTGCGCCATAGGGTTAGCATTAGAATCGGCAAAAACAGGCTATTGCTCGGGAACGGTAAGGGCTACGGGGGTGAAATTTTCACGCCAAGTCGATCGCGTGCACTCATTTGTCGTATTAAATTTTCGACGGTGTGGGTTCAGCGGTGTGCACGTGGTGGGGCCGCGGTCGGCGCCGAGCAAAACGCTCGTGCTTTAGGCTCAGTTGTTCGCTTAAAAACCTGAGTGAAAATAATCAGACAACGAAGGCCGACACAAGGCACCGCTCGCCAAGGGGATTCGCCAGTAAATACAATAAGTTTTTGCAATATCTCAGCCGTTTCTGGGCCGATTTAGCTGAAACTTGGACTGTCGGTGGTAGTGTAGGGTAGTGTAGTGTAGGGTAGGGGTAGGGTAGGGGTAGGGTAGGGGTAGGGTAGGGGTAGGGTAGGGTAGGGTAGGGTAGTGTAAGGGTAGGGTAGGGTAGGGGTATAGGGTAGGGTAGTGTACATAGGGGTAGGGTAGTGTAGGGTAGGGTAGGGCAGGGTAGGGTAGGGTAGGGTAGGGTAGGGTAGGGTAGGGTAGGGTAGGGTAGGGGTAGGGTAGGGTAGGGTAGGGTAGGGTAGTGTAGGGGTAGGGTAGGGTAGTGTAGGGGTAGGGTAGGGTAGTGTAGGGTAGGGTAGGGTAGGGTAGGGTAGGGTAGGGTAGGGTAGGGGTAGGGTAGGGTAGGGTAGGTTAGGGTAGTGTAGGGGTAGGGTAGGGTAAGGTAAGGTAGGGTAGGGTAGGGTATGGTAGGGTAGTGTAAGGGTAGGGTAGGGTAGGGGTAGGGTAGGGTATGGTAGGGTAGGGTAGGGTAGGGTATGGTAGGGTAGGGTAGGGTATGGTAGGGTATAGGGTAGGGTAGGGTTGAATTGAGTAACATCCTAACTTACAAAGGGCTCGAACAACTCGCATGCATCACCATCATACTTTACAGTTCAATTAAAAGCAGTTACCCAGTTCTTCACAAATAATACCAATAAAAATGCAAGTTTCTATACCCAAACTAATGCATCCGTTAATCATACATATCAAAACATACAGTTATCGCGTAAACCTGTACCTCTAGTCCTCGTAACGATCTTTTTAGCCAGACATGTATCTGTAGAAAATCATTTAGATATTGTAGGCAAGTGAGCTAGCTCAATCACACATATTTTGCGAAAGTGCCACGGTATTTGGCTCTCAAATACAGCCCTACGCAGCGTCAAATACAATCGTTATCCCTCTCCTCAACGTGTGCTGGTTACATCAAAATAACTAATAGGGCACCGAGCGCCATTGGATAGAATCCTCCAAACAATTCATGACTGAAGCTCAATATGTTTCACAAACACCCTCAATCACTAATACCGAATCGAACTGTTCGTTCAGATTCAATGAGCAATGTCCCAGCAACACCCCTCTCAACGTTCACTCCACATTTCGGCACTCATTGCTCCTCAAACAACCAGTGTTCCTTCTCCAAACTAAAGCTTCTTCTGGCTGCCACTAGGGGCGCTGGCGGCGCCGCGCTCCCTCCAGGGACGCCTCGCACACTCACACCACACGCTATCACCGACTGCTGGCGCGCGGCGCGCGCTGCTATCACAAGCTGAGGTAGGTTTTCTCCTCGGCCGTACCATCGCCCTGTAGCGCCGCGGCGTCCATCAGAAGCTGCAGCCCGTCGAAGCTGTCCCTCCGGCCGAGCTGCGGCAGCTGCGGCGGCTGCGACAGCTGTTGCGGCGGCTGCGACAGCTGCTGCGGCTGCTGCGGCAGCTGCAGAGGCGGCGGGGTCGGCGGTGGCGTCACCTGAGCGGCCGGAAACTGCAGCGGGTCCAGGTAGCCCGTGTACGGCGGGTACGACACGGAGGGGTACGGCGCCGGCAGAGCGCACGACTCGGCTGCCGCCGCCGCTGCCGCCGCCTGGTACGCGCTGAACGACGGCAGAGGCATCGACGACATTGATGACGACATTGAGGACGCCATTGAAGATGACATCGACGATGTCATTGATGACATTGACAACGCCATCGTGGACGGCATGGATGACGGCATGGACGACGTAATCGACGAGCAGACCAGAGGCGGCGGTGGCAGCGGCGCCGGGGGCGGTACAGGCGGAGCGGGCGGGTCCTGGGCACCGGAGATCTGGGAGATGGGCGGCAGGAACCGGTGACCGGGCGCCGGCTCCGTCCAGCCCCGGCTCCAGGTGCCGGTCGAGGGAGCCGACTCGGCTGGCGGCGCCTCTGGAGGGGACGGCTCCGGCTCCTTCGGCCGCCTGCTCTTGCGGTTGATGGTGAAGCGGTCCGGGTCGTTACCCTCCTGTCTGATCAGCTCAGGGAGGATCCGGCGACGGGCGTTGATGAACCAGTTGCATACCTGGGGAGAGGGGGCGAGGGGGAGTTAGATTTGCTGTCAGAAAGACGGGGGTCAGAGTAGCACGGCAAGAAGATTTGAGCCGCCGTCATATTTGTATCAGGTGAGACCCATGCCGAGTGGGTCTCACCCATTGTCGCAAGCCGAGTGGGAGGTCTAAGAAAGTCAAGGTTTCGTCTACATGGGAAGGGACTGGAGGGTCAGCATAACATAAAGCATTAAAAAGTTTTAGCAAGCCTTCGGTCACTTTCGATGGGATTAACTTAAAAGTAGAGGAATTGGCAGCCGATTAGGGTGGCTTCACAATGGCGTCATAACAGTCTCTAGTGGCGTATCCGCAGACCACGGTACATCAAAGGGGCGTCAAAGTGACGTCAGTGGAGTGTTGACCATTTCTCAGCGATGTGGCGGAGCAGCGCTGAGCGTGTGACGTCTGCAGTCGTCAGCCATCAGCCTAACTCAGCGCGCTGACAGAGCGATGTCAGATGGACCTACGGCCGTCAGTCGGCATCAGAGCGATACAAAACGACGCTAGGACGCCGCACGTCATCGGACATACTTCCAGGGTGTCCAACCGGATCCAGAGAGGACCCATGAGAGAGCGTCAAACAGCGATGGGTCGTGAGGGCATCAGCAGCTCACACCCCAGCCCTGCTTAGTGCCGTGTGCACCACTCGTCCGCCCCCCACCGCCATGACCACACGCCGCTCCACATTGGCAGGTCCGCCCGCTCTGCTCTCTGACCTTCATTGTAGCAGCGCTGCATCGGGGTGTGACATTTACATAGTGCGAGAATCGCCAGTGCGCTCCGGCGCCGGATGGTGCCCTGAGGGGTCGGACGGGTGGCGTCCCGAGGGGCGGCGATCATGGCGCAGATACGCACAAACGTGCGCGCACCAACGACGTTGATGGAAACGGTAATGTGAAATGAATTTTAAACGGTGTGATTCTGGTTGAACGGGTATGCGGGAAATTGCACAGGCTGAGCTATGCGAGTCTTGCATGGAGGGTGAATATATGCGATGCAGGGTGCGTTGACACGATTATTTGAAAAGGAATCAGAAAGGGAATACCATCACCATACGATTGAAATTTGCAAGATTTTGCAGTAATACTTTCTACACATTTATTTCCACGTGAAAGTGACTCTAATGAACTTCATGTAATTATGTCACTGTCTATTTAATGAGCTGTTCAACAGCTTTTGCAATTCTAATTCACGCAGCCACTTAGCAAAGCAGCCGTCTAGAATGGTGCAGAGGCCTAACTATAGTGGCACCTACCATTCGACTCACTACCTGCGACTCCAGCCGAAAACTACATATACAGATTTATTTCCCATTGAAATAAGAAGGCACGTACCTACAAGGGTTAAAAAATAAATAAAATAAAGTGTATGTTGAAACCATTCATAAAAGAAAAATGACCATAAACATATAAACTCAGAAAAAGCTTAAAAGGGTATGGCTTTTGCGGCGGCTTCAGAATAAATTTGTTGAGCCGCATAACCCGGCAGTTGCTGGGGTATTTCGCCACCCACCGTTTGCTGGGGGGGGGGGGGGGCGTTAAACGCCCCCAGCCGATAACTCGAGAACCAATAGGCGCAGCGAAACGCACGAGGCAGCAAACGAAAGAACGCGACGAGACGCTTCAGATGAGTACTTTAAAGTTGAATTTTGAGGTCACAGGTCGGGTCAAGGTCAGGTCAAACACCTGAAATCGGGCTTTCAGTAGCATGGACTTCAGGACTTCGCAATGGGCGCCTCTCGTCATAAACTCCGTCAAAACGGTGCACAATCCATCATATAATGCCTGCAAGAGTGTCAACTCCATATAGGGGTCAGTAAAGCATAGGTCAGGGTCAAGGTCAGGTCAACAGGGTAGGCACATATCCCCGAAAATCAAAACTGATATTCGCAGCCTGTGACACATGTTTTATGGGTAATTTGGAGCGTAGAACACGATGGTGACATTCATTTTATCATATGAGTACGTGTTTGGCTTAAAAAGTTCAATTTAAGAAATGCATGTATCATGGACGTGAAGTAGTCACGAGAAATTGCCAAGATTCAGTTCAAGATTTTGGAAAATGCGGAACGATAATCAATAATCGAAGATAGCCATTTGATTGCTCATGGTATTGGCAGTCTAATGGCGTTTACGGCATGTCTGTATGTCTATTCTGTGATTTTATATGATTTTTTGAACATATGCCATTTTTGGCCGAAAACTCAGAAATTATGACTTTTTTTTATAAATTTAGTCCGAACCTTTTGATGGGAAGGATTCACAAGGACAGAGCCACCGCTAAGCGAAGCTTGTTGCGATGACCCTGCCCTCTACCCTCCGATCGCGCAATTCCGATTCTATGGCAGAATTTAGAGTCCAAAGTTTAACGTGCGCACAAAGCCGCGCACGGCCGGTCCCCTCGCTGACTTCGCCTGGCTACGGCCTGCCACCAACCGCAACCATACCTGTCAGGAGGCCCATAAATGTCGAGCGCCCGTCGCGCTTCGAACCCGGACTGTCATAACCGGGAACGCGTGCTCTCACCACGCGGAGTCCAACGCTCTAACCAACTGAGCTACGGGACCGGCAATGACGTCACTAAAACCTCGATATCTCAAAAATTTTCCGACCGATTTTTTTGAAACTTTGTCACAATACACTTCAATCAATTCCCTACAGGTACCCAAAATTTGGCGCGCCTGCGGCGCGCCGTTTTTATGCTATGGCCCGGCGAAAAAAGTGGGGGCGTTTAACGCCCCCCCCCCCCCAGCAACTCGCGGGATAATTCTTTGGCATCACATTTGGCCTTTTCCCCGTCGATGGAATGGTTCGCGGCAGCAATATTGCGAAGAAGCCTCGGCGCCTTAAAAAGCTGGGCATCAGGCCAATCGACTTTTACGTCACACAAAGACAATTATGATAAATAAAGTTCATGGCCTCGATGGGGCTATGAGTGCGAAGTAAATCAAAGACGCGTCGGAGCGGAGAGCAATAAAGTAGCCGGTCACTTTGGAGGCCCGTCCTGATAGAAATATTGTCGCGCGATGAATGGGGTGGGTGGGTGCCAGTTGAGATGAGCCGGCACTCATACTGGCCGCAGTTGGCACCGCGGTCGGGGGTGCGTGCCAAGCGCCTCGCCGCCGACGGACGATGCTGAACTGCCTCCGAATCAGGAACGGTGGGAGGGAGAGGTGCATAAGAAGTAGTGGTTCAACAGGGTGCCCTCAGAGAACACCACACTGACCTTACCGCGGCGCTGCTATTTGGGACAATGAGGGAGCTGTTCAGCTAAAGGTTCAGACATTTAATCGCAAGCAAAAATATCACAAGGATGACTTTAAGCGCGGCAGGCGTCTCGCATATCCAGCCGAATGTCTCGTAACCTGCACCTGTTCGCCGATTTCGCGGCACCACAGAGGGACCCACAGTCACCAGACAGACCAGCATACGCCACTTCCAGCCGTACAACATTGCAAATGACAGTTGGGGTAAACAAGCAGGCGAATCTGTCACTCAGCGAACGACGAGCGAGTCTGATATATTATTTTCCAGCTGCCGTCGCAGGCTATCGTCACTTCATGATGTCACTCGCCGCAGAGTTGGTGAACATGCTTACCTGCAGGACGGTGAGGTTGGCCTGCATGGCCAGTTCAGCTTTCTGATCATCATTCGGATAGGCGTTGTAGCGGTGTTCGAAGAGCCACCCCTTGAGCACCTTGATGGAGTCCTTGGGCAGGTTGCCGCGGCGCCGTTTCGAGTCGCTGCAGTCGTCACTCCCTCCCGGTGACGGCGGTCCCCTGGCGCCGGCTGAAACAAAACAGACGTCATCACTGCCCGCCCCTCTGACCCGCCCGCACGTGATCCCGTAATGACGGCAGCGCTCCCAGCTCCGTCACGTGCTTTGGGGGAGATGTTGTGGCGCCAGGACGGGGCAGAAACGGTGGTTCGATGTTGCGAGTGAGTTATCAGAGAATAAAATACATGATGACATAAATCATAACAATCGCTAGCTTTGGTAAATCACAACTTTGGTAAATTAAGTATGCTCTTTAAAAATGAATGAGATTTGCACTGGTGATCTCTGGCACAATCCGATAGTGTCCTTCCGGTTCACAGTTACTCGTGCAATCACCTGCAGTGTGGCCTCCAAAATCGGCGCTTGTGATGGCTCATTTATTATCCACTCCTCACCGATCCGAATCTCGACGGTATCCCACCCAGCGCGATTGGCGCAGGGTGTTTTTGGATAGCGTCTAGTGCGATTGGCGTACAGCGTCCTGGTCTGCGGGCCAAATATACTTATTCATTCTGTTTACTTTTGATAGAGTGGATGGATTTTTACCACAGGCCAGCTAACTGGAATTTGCGTAACGTTCACTGAAATCTGAAACCAGCTTTGGGCGAAACACTGTTATAAATAATATTTTGAAAATATAAGGGCAGGGTTCAAAGCTACAAAAATAGACGGCATACGCAGCGTTAAATAAAATAAACCAATTTCAGGGCAGAAAAGCAGCTTAATTAAAAAAATAACGCAAGATTTATGATCGCGCCTACCGGTATCTATGACTTAACGGCGTCGATAAGCGAAGGCTTTTATGTCTGAACGAGACAACCCATCATCATATTAGCCTTCAGATTCGTCAATATATGAGGGTGGCTTATCGAGACCGATGTCCAAACTATCGCTCACCAGTCTGATGCCGTGCCAAGGAAAATGGAAATCATCGTTCTCGGCAGAGCTATGGAAATCTAAGGACCACAGCGAAGCCAACCATGTGTTCCATGTGAGTTATTCGAGCGGACTTTACGGTATCTTGCACCAGACAACGGTCACATCCAGGTGGAATATATCCTGAACATTACACAATCTGGGACAGAGATGGCTCGTTAGCTAAACAAGTGTTGCTTTTGTTCACTTTCATCTTTAATTAAAGTTTACTTAGCGCCACGTGAGAAGGCTGGAAGTTGGAACAGGTCGGGTCAGCCTAAGGTGGTGGAGACGCTTCGAGGGGAATAAGTGGCGGTAACAGGTCACACACATACGAATACATATGCAGTGCACATATGCATACCTACTGTCTCATTCACGCAGATCTACCAGAGGTATGTACCGGTGGCCGTCTCAACAGTGCGTGCTGTTACTGCACGTTTCTGGAACGAAAATGTTAGGCCCTCTCGAAAAGCTACCGAACGTTACGCATGAATTACACATTTGATGCTTTATGCTGCCTAGCTTACATTTCAACATAGATTTGCATATATTTAGATAGGTTCAAAATAAGATTATTTCAAGCTCTCATCGTGCCATCAATGGAACTCAATCCATACGTTCCATTCAAAGTTCAATGACGACGCAAAAACGACAGTCAGGGAAACTGCTAGACATCGAACCATTCCTGAGGCTAGTGAACAATTTTCCCTCCATGTCTGTTTCTGCGTGGCTTGACCCGATCCGATCGGTGTCAAGGTCGATACGGCTACTGGTCAGGGTCGCTAGGGGAAAGATCACCTTGGAACAAGTGGACGGGCGAGGTGGAAGGTGGAAGGTGGAAGGTGGAAGGTGGAAGGTGGAAGGTGGAAGGTGGAAGAACAGTGGAACGGGTGGATGACTGCACACATGAGGGGCACGGGATGAATGATATAGCTCGCCGGTAGACAAAACAGCATATGCATAATTTTTGGATAGCCTAACAAATGTGTTCGCGTGGTATATAATGCTTGCAAGTTATATGAAACACATCAGTAGGTGCATAAAGGTGCTTAGGTAGGTACTTGCTAATGTTTTGAACAATTGTTGCGAAGAAAAAGGAGAGGACGCAAGAAGCCACCGCTGATGACCGACCGACCGCCTTGATAACCCACCTGCAGGTTATCAAGGTGGTTATTTGCAGCTATTCATAGGCAAATAACACAGCCGGGCCACGTGCTGAACACATCAGCATGTGACGTCATGCCTGCTGACGTCACTGCGCGCATCCTGTACTCCCCACAGCTGGCCACAGTAGAGCAGGTAGCAGATTTTGTCGACATGCTGCCTGCACCGGAAACTCGCCACTTCCGGTGCACGACCTACCACCGTGTGACACGCCGCGTGGCGCCCGGTCTGATCAGCAGGTCACTAAAACGGTCGGTTTAACGGTCACAAACAGGCAAAAATTTAATGAGCGAGGCATGGCTGGTGTCTATTTTAAGTCTTTTGGTCTTATTTTTTTGAATAAAATGCTGAGTTAATCATAATGTTAAGCTGAGTAGTTAATATGCGTGTCGATATAATCAAACAACAGTAACAATATATGTAATTGTTTTCAACAGCACGTTTCGCTCTGATTACGGTCATAATGCCTGGCATGGCAGCTGTCATGAGACAGTTACCCGCGTTGTAACAGGCCAGTGATTAAAGGAAAAGGGCCACCTTTAACATGGGGATTGAAACTGAGATAGCCATCTTAGGTACTGCTTCAAGAGAGGGAAAACTAAAGAAATTGAATGAATGCAGACTTATTATTTTCAGGCTTTAGGCTTTGATAAAAACAGTCAGAGCCAGAAAAATGAAATGTGCATTTTTGTTGTTGGGTTAGAACCCCCTGGGTCAAATATGACCCGACCATTTCAGGGCCACGCATGAAAATGGGAATTAGGTACGGGAAATAGTGGTTTGCCTGGGGCACTTTTAGACACTGAAAGCACATAGGGAACGCTGTCATCGGTCCACGCTTAGTAGCCGCCCGGGCCGACCACATGTGTCCCATCTCCCTCGCTGACGCCTCCCGCTGATCCCGGGCCGCCTCCCGGCGCGCGCTAAACGTTTACAACCAAAACACCGGCGCCCGCTCCGGGAGACACGCTGCCAGTGCTACCGGTCGGCGGCGACACGTGCTGTTTTTGCCAGGTGTCCTCTGACGGCTAGGGTTCGACGGAGAGCCGGCGACCAACAACACTGAGGCAGCGGGAGACGACAGGCGAACGGTTCTCCCGGCTGCTGTTCTTGGCCGGGAGCGAGTGGACGGTACCCGCTCGAGGTTTTTTCTTCCTATAGCGATGAGGAAAGGTAGCTGAGTGGCGTCAGCTTCTCCAGCTGGTCGTCAATCAGATTCAGTCTGTACCGGCTCCCGCACTCTAATCAATCCCACATCACCAATGCCTACGCCAGAAGCTCGCAAAGCAAAGAGCTCAAACCGGTTTTACCCATTGCAAATATGTAACGCCAGATATAAAACCGCTGCAAATGACAATGGCTGCGCTGCACGTTCAAGGTAAAACTGGTGGAAGATTTTCAGCAAGATAATGCTTTTTCAAGGTGCGCTGGTGCGCCTGTGCGTTGGGCATAATGTGCGTGCCGGTGCAGCCGGCGCTGTCCTGTTCGGAGTTATGAGCCTGTGCTTGGTCCTCAGAGGACTGGTGCAAGCACGGCGACCCGACGACGGCGAGGATTCTCTCCAACTGGCCGCAGTGGGAGCTCTCGGGAAGTTCCGTGAATAGCCAGATTTACGTATATAAGGTTGCCTTTGATTTCTTGCTTTTACTTAGAATAGTTGATGCTCTCGTATTTCTGGCTTATAATTTGGTTCAGGGCCAGGCCTACCCACGGGATCACAATTTACATGCACTTCAATCATTTAATTTCTTGACTTCGGTCATTTCCGTGTCTTTATTTATTCTACTTGCCATATCATTTGTGTTCACTTCTGGGCTCTTCGATCTTTTCTACACTTTTTTCTTTAATCTCTCTCCTCGGATCTTCTCTGTTTCTCACTCTTTCTTTCTTTCTTTCTTTCTTTTTCCCACTCTCCCTCTCTCCCTCCTTCATTTTTTCTCACTCGTCTCTCTCATGTTCTGTTCATTTCTTGATTCTTCTCTCTTCCTTATCTCTCTCCACCACTGCCCCCTCCATTTCTCTCACTTCCCTCTCGCGCGCGCGTCGCGTCTCCGTCCGAACGCAGCAGGTTGGAGTCGGACCAAAAGTCGTCCGCTGTTTTATTTTGGTCCGCGGAATGCGTCGGCCGTGCACTGTGTGAAGAGCGGCGAGGCCGCAGGGGCACCGGAGACACGGAGACAGAGACGGAGACACGGAGACAGAGACGGAGAGCTCCGGAGACACGGCGGAGACGGAGACGAACCGAGCCGGCCCCGCCAGACGACAGCACTCTCCAATATCCTCCGAACGGCCGTACACAGTCAGCCGGAGGGGATCCATCTGAATCACGTCATCGCAAACGCAAGAACACTCGGGTAGTTTGGCGTGTGCCGTGCACAAACAGAGGGAAGACACACGGTTTGTGTGGCTGGTCGCTGCCAGCACTCGGTTACTTTAGCAACAAGTGCGGTTAATTGAAAGCTGGAGTAACGGATTGCGGCGCGTGCTGGTGTCACTTGTCAGAGTAATTTGTGTTTGGTGTTACAATACATCTGGATGGGTGCATTTTCACACGAAAGCGTAAGTTATCCTGCTCAAACAAATGTCACTCTGAGTGTTGGCATTTGCAAACATGTGTTCTGCTATCAGACAGCTGGTGTCTACCGTTTACTACATCGGACCATTCATAGTGAACACCAGGGCTACACACCAATGTAATTAATGTGTAGCCCCGGTTATCGCTCATAGTAAACGATACAGGTAATTTGGGTAGCCAGGCTGTCAGTACTAAAATGATGTCCAGAACTTACGATTGACAGGTAACTCAGATAAGTATACGTACACCATGCGCACCTGTTAAAAAGGTAGGTAATTTATATGTTGATTGGTAGGTAAAGGTAGGCAGGTAATTAGTAGGCATCGGTAGGCCGGTAATTGATTATGATAGATAGGTAACATAAAGTTAACCAAATTTAAAAATAATGGCTGATTGCATAAAAGCGTATTACAAATTAGATTATGTGCATTATTAACTCGAATGAAAAATGGTTAATGGTTATTGTTTTTCATTCCTATTCATCGTAAACTGTCCACTTTTATAAAATTCGTAACGACGGCGTCAATGAGTCGATTAGCGTAACAGGAAGTGTGATAACAGATCAGATTAGTATTACTTTCGTAAAACCTTGTAAAAAACCGTAGACAACCAAAACATTTTAAAGCTATGTGCAGATGAATTTGGAGAAATAATAGCACAGCTCAAGCTGTCCAAAAAGTAAAAAGTATCATGCAGAAGCGCTAAAAGGATTGGAGAATGTAAGAAAATGTCAGAAAATGTAAGTATATAATTATTTGTCAGAAAATGTGAGAACAGTATTTGGGCAGTAAAACGGCAAATGAAAATGAAGGTAGTGAATGAACGATGGGAACAGTGCTAGGCTGCACTCCATAGATCGTAAGGACGGCGCATGGCCGGAACAGGCCAGAGATAGACGGTGCGTGAAAGAAAATACACTTTCATCCATGTCCTATCTCCCTTCCAACAATACCTACACCCAAAATAAATGAGTTCTTAATAGCATCCGTAATTCCCAATAAGGTTATACCTAAAGATGTTTATGCTGAAGCTTGCGGTTAATCATTATAAATAAATAGATGCAGCAAATTTGTAAAAATTTACCGCGGGGATTTACATTCCTGAGCCCAAGACACCCAAACTTGGCTCGTTTTATGCTACCAATTTCATCTCAGTTTGTCTAATAATAAATATTTATAAATAAATTATTGCAAAAAGAAAAAGAAACTAGGTTACAGAAATATGAGAGATGAAAGCACGTGCCTCCCACTGACCCCGAACGACCCCAAGCAGCTTCATGGAAGCCGCTCGGGTCGCGCCGGCGGGCTTCCATAGGACCACAACCCGCAGCTGGTTCCACTCGTAGCGCAGCTCGTTAGCGCTGCCTGAGTAGCCATAACGACCCGCGGCGTGGCCCGGGTCCAGCGGGAGCCTGTGTGGGGACAGTCTCATGCTGTCTGAGGGGAAGGGGTACGACACACTGTCACACACGGCGCTCCTGTCATATCCGGGCCGTTCCAGGCGCGTCGCGGACTGCCACTGACAGCACGATCTGTCACCGAGCTGTCAGACGGCTGCCGCGTCGCGTCGCGTCAGTCACGCTTACCTTTGCGTCCCTTCATGACGCGTCCCGGTCGGCGGCTGGCGCGCGGCTGAAGCTCGGGGAGCTGCGGCAGCTCCGGTAGGAGGGCTGGCTCGGAGAGCTCGGGCTCGGACGGGACGGCCACAGCCGCGGGCGGCCGCTCACGCACACTGATGGAGCGCGGCCGGCGGCACCCAGCGCCCCCAGGTGGACTGGCGCAGCACGTGGCGGCTCCGGGCGGCTCTGGGCGGCAGGCTGCCAGCGGGCGGCACGGGCGGACCCGCCCCCCGCCGCCGCCGCCGCCGCCGGGCAGTACCCGCTCCCCGTCCTCCGGCCGCCCGCCGCCGCCCGCAGCCCGCCGCCAGAGCCGCCCGGCCCCTGCGCGTGAAAGGAGACGAGGGCTCGCCGTGCACCGACCGGCTATGCACGGGCCGGCTGTGCACGGCAGCTGTGCAGAACGGCATGCACGGTGCACGGCCCGCTCGGCACACGTGACCTTGGCACTATGCGTGACGCGCACAGCTAACGGGTCACGTGCGTAGGGACAGCGGCGGACGACAGGTAATCCTTGGAACTGCGAAATCGAGCCGGCCGGGCTGTCCGCGCGCTGCGCACTGTCCTCAGTCGTCTGTCGCCAAACCGGTAACCGCGGCCGATTCAGGGAATGGCAGGGGTATGTGACATACCTACAGAAGCGTGTATCGGTATGGGCGAGAGGACGGCAACGGGCAAGCCATGGAAGAATTTCGTCCCCAACTGCTTGTCACGGTCAATGTCACCAATGAATTGGTCTACTGCTCTATGTTAATGCCCATATTTTTAACGATATAAAAATAACGCTAAACTCATGTTTAAAAAAAAGAACTGACAAAAAGTTGGCAAACTCGATGTGCATGAGGCCGTCCTGAACCATTTTCGGACCAGAATAGAAGCCACGGGACCAGCAGAGCGCGCACCACACAGTGCACAGAACCACAGAGGGCAGCAGGACGTCAGGTCCCACTGCGGTACATTCAAACGGCAGTTCTATTGAGCCTAGCATTGCAGAATACTGAATAGTACAAGTAGGTAAACGCAGGAGAGCGGGGGTGGCAGCCGCGGCGGGGGCGGCGGGCGGCGGGAGCGGCAGCGGGGGCGGCGGGTGGCGGCGGGGGCGGCAGCGGGCGGCTCTCAGCAGATGTCATTCTCCATACGGCTAGCGTCACGAGCACGACACAAAATCGATGCTGCTGAGCGCTGAGTCGATATATGTCAGGGGGCACGCCGGTCGGGTCGGGTAAAGTTCGACGCTCCCTCGGGCGGCTGACAGCTCGAGCGGTGCTGCACGTGAACTGAACGCCCGTTTTACGCTGAGCTAGTCAAACAAAGAGAATTTAAATCATGCTGAACGTCAAAAAATGATGTTCACAATGCTCTTCATGCGCTGTTTAGTAAAAAAAAGGAGTTGATATTAATCGACCACCTGACTTTTATTGAGGCTTGAATCGTGTTTACCTTTACATTCTTTTTCACATAAATAGGCATAAGTAGTAGGTAAGCATGCTTAAACTTTACTTAACTTTACTTACTTACAGTCTACAGAGGTCAAATAAAGTTAAGGTGACCGATTTTGTCAGGTGTCGACTGTCGTGTTACCTGTCCGCATCATACGGGAAAATTTGATCTCAGGTATATCTCTCAGCCTAGACCGAAGTCTATAAAGGACTTATATCTGCATAGCTAAACTAGCTCTCTGACTTTTTCTATGACAAGCTTTGATGTTGATTGACAACAAAAACCCTCACCTTGCCATCTTTTCATTTTATTAGCCATAAGCGTCGAATGCTAAATAAATGTACGTACGTTCCTGAAAACGTTTTTGCATTTGACATTTTTGCATTTTTGCATGATTTGCATTTGACCTCGAATCAGGTTCACGACCTAACCCAGGTGGGTTGCGTTGAGTGTCTGCTCTCTGTCGATCCGAGCGCACGGGTATCAGCTACGGAAATGTACCTATATTGCAATGATCAAAAGTTATTGGTCAAAAACGGATGGCGACCTCGGTTGACCTCATGACCTAAATTGCCACTTGAAAGGGGTGTCGAAGAGCGCTTTACAGCTGAATATTACAGCTATTGCAGGTACAGCTGAGAGCTGAATGCCTAAAGAAAATGGTTAGGTTCACTTAATTTTTTTACGAACGATGGGCATTGATGAATTTATGAAAATACATGACCGGGATTTCTACCTCAAAACATAATAACTACCTACGTGCATCACATTGCATGCGCATTGCACTTGTTGCATACCTAGACTACACAAGCCTAAATCAAAGGCACATACAATTCCTCGTATTCGGACTACATCTGCTCCATAGTCGCGCTGCCCGTAGGACGACCGTGGACAGAGTCGACTGAGGCCGATTTTCGGTCGAATCCCGTGTGTGTGTATTTTTGTCCGCTCGTTGGCCGATGCCTCGATGTCCCCGTGAGGAGCCCTGCACCCCCCCCCCCCTCGCCCCCCCTCCCTTGGCCGATTACACCGCCGCTGCCCTGAATAGTTTTCGTGCTTCGACTATCCATCTGCATTCATGGCACGAGACCAAATTGCGGAGCCAGCCAACCGAACCGAGCCGAGCGGACCGGAGCGACGGCGCCGGGTGGTGCTGACATCTAGTGGGCAAGATCGAAACTACAAGTTGCCTAATTCGCCTAACGAGGATTCCGCTAGGTACTGCTCTATTGCTAGAGTTTATATCTATGGCTAGAGGCGTACTTCCTCAAAGCGACTGCTATCTATTCCTCGGGGTTCCTCGTGGTTCATCAGCTGCCTTCTCTAGTGTCATCCACATGCTTATCAGGTAGGTGCTTCCATGCCTTCTTACATCCCTCTGAAGTCTACCTACAGAATGAGACAGAATCGAACAATACCGACGTGTGCTCGTCCTAGCGCGAGTTAATTATCCATTTAGCACCAAAAAAGTCAAATATTCTCCCTATTCACAGTATATTCACAATATCCAAAGTTCACACTACACAGTATTCAGATTCCAACGAGCAATGATCTCGTGAAAGGCTCACATTTAGTATGCATCAATGTTGGGTGGCTTGGCGTATCTCTCCTTGAGCTCCCCTGCCTTGTACTGCCGGGCCCTTTCCTTCTGCATCGCGTCCACGCGTGCAAACTGTCGGTGGGAATCAAAAGCTCTGGTTAGAAAACTGGCCACAACGGCGTCCCTAGCGCACCAAACTGAGGTGCTGCGAGGCACGTTGCAAAACAGTAGAAGACACCTCAAAAAGGATTGTTCATGAAACCAAAAATATTTAGAAATGTTGAAGAAATCAACCATCTAAATTGCAGTGAGACCATATCGAAAACCTCAACGTGTATGAGCCTTCAATTAGAAAAGCTCGATGTGTGTGTCGGTTGCACATAGCAACCACCCGTCCTCTGTGCACAATATGCGCTAACCATACAACAAATTAAAAACTGCCGTGCATACACCCTAGCCTCAAACTAAACAATTCACACTAATCCAAATGTTAACACTTGCAGTCATGATCTAAGATAACCTTACCAACTACCACACCATTAACGCATGAAAGTCGCAGATTCCTATCTTTGTTTTCCGGCGAAAGTATGAGTTTCGAGCCTCGCCGGGTTCGAGAAAGGAGACTCCTGGCCACATTTCAACATGTAACAGAGCAAAAAGGAGAATATCCAAATTCTTCTGAGCCATTAAGGTGACTTACTGGTCCCACCACCACAAATCAAACAAATTTAACTATAACCAGCCCCATGGATGACGTCTCCTATCAGTCCTACCCCTCCCCTCCCTGTCCCACCCAGCCCCTCATCACCTGTTTGGTCATCAGCTGGCACTCCATGAGGTCATTGAAGTAGTTGCGGCAATCCTTGACACCACGGTGCGGTCCGTAGGCCTCCATGCAGTCGCCGAAGCGGCCCTCGAACTCGTGGCACTTGTTGCCGGACGCGTGCGTCATCACGCAGCCGAAGATGTCGGTGAAGGGGTTGCGGAACAACGGCGCCCACGCCTTTAGCTCCACCCTGAGGGCAGGAGGGAGGGGATATCAGCTGGTGTGGCGTGGAGATTGCGTGATCGCTGCAGACAGGAGGAGGATGTGAGCTGGTGTCGCATGGTCATAAGCTCAATTGCATTACACAACATGTGAATTGAGCACACTTGACATTACCTATCTATGACTTGTCGATTCCTAAAGAGTGCATACCATGATACCATGTACTGTAATAGCACACTGCTAATCAGGAAAATAAAGAGTCTGTCATAAGGAGAGAGCAAAGCATGGAAACACGTCAGGAAAAGATCATCAGAGGATGGACAAGCTGTTAAGATTAATGAATAACAGGCATCTAATTTCAAAGAAATTTCTGTTGAGCTTATGACTGGTTAAGAAAAAATACATTGCCTGTTCAGGAATCTAGGTTCATCAAGCAAATGGCATGGTCCTCATCAAATCCAAATAGATCAATCAACAGAGACATGAATGAACATAGGTAAATTAAACCTGAGTAGCACTAAGGAGTCATACAATTATAGCAAAACAGATACACAAAATGCTTCACAGTTGAAAGATGGCAATGTAGAATATCTTGTTTGCCCCTTAATATCTACAAATGTCTACTATGTTTATCTACTGATCTGATACATGTATTTCTTTAAACATACAACATATAGATGCTATTGCTTTTCAGCTGAAGTGATGGAGAAAACTAAAAATGGTATAAATGCAAGCTGCCATGGTAAGGGTAAGGATATAATAAAGCCTACATGAGTAGCTATAGATGTTTGTAAAGAACTGTAAATGCTGATACTGGCTTCTGCGCAATAGATGCTCATCACATCTGAAAGTGAAGTCTGGCATTAGAATGTCACCCGGAACTTGGAAATTCAAGTGTGCTTGGAATGAGACACAGATCATGGCTAAGACTTTTCTGCCCTTTTTTGTAGGATAATCAGATAGACTTCCCCCATTATTTGAAGGGGTGATAAGTGGCACAGTCCAATGATGATCATCAATGATGATCAATGATGATCAGACTGTGAATAATTTATATATTTCATCATGATGTCTCATTTTGTGCCAGACTTTCTGAAATGTTAGTTTGCACCAAAATTTCATTGATCTCCATGTGCTGATATTTCACTGATGTTGATGGTTATCTGGATTTTTCCCCAGTCTGGGGCTGATGCAGACTTCCTGCCTGGTTGATTTGGGCTGGTGCAGACTTATCCCTGGCTGGCACAGCTTGTCACATTTTGATCTTCTGCAATTTTTTACAGTCTGGGATACATTAAACAGAAAAGTTACCTCCCTCACAGACTCCTTATAATTATTGTGTCATTTCATCATGATGTTGTTCAGGGACGTAGCCTAGGGGGGCCATAGGGGCCATGGTCCCGCTGAATGCGAAAAATAGAATAAATTTACAAAAAAATAAAAATAGAACCACAGCTGCACCACACACCCAAAAATAGTGGGCCAACTTCGAATTTTCCTTTTTTAAGTTTTTTGGACGGGTTCCGGCACGACCTGTAGGCCTCGACCTGAGGCCCCTCCCTGAGAAAAATCCTGGCTACATGCCTGATGTTGTTAAACCTGAATCACACAAATGGCAGAGCCAGATCAATTCTGTTCTAATAAAAATGAAAAGCGTTGTAACTACCTATATCTAATATCTATTGCTAGAGGTCAAAACTATCTGAATTAATAAATCAGAGATTAAAGTACTTACTTCCATGGCTCCGTGGTGATATCCCTGGCCATTTTTAATCCTGCTAAGTGCTAATCCGTCAATACGTTTAATTATAAATACAATGGCATAGAACAATTTCTGTAAATGCTTCTTTTTCTATGGTTTCAGAGCGGTTTCAGTCTTGTTTCAGTGGAAGGATCGAAAAATATTCTCGTCTCACATGCGTCATGAATGAAGACAATTCACTAGGACAAAAAAAAGAGTTCAGCTGACTATACTCCTTACTTCTATTTTACTTAAATTTTTCTTCGAACATAGTGATAAGCTGGTAATTCTCATTTTTAAGTTCTTTTGATATTCAAAAATTATCGAAATATTTGATAAGTGTTCTACAATTCTAAAAGATACTGAAAGCATACAGGGCAAAGTCCAGTTTCACCTTGTGAAACAGCTGACGAATGTTGTGGCGAAAGCTGTACGCGCAGTGCGCACTGTGCGGCACGTACGATTCCTCCTTTGCGTCGGTCGGCGTCAGTTGTCGACTGTTGCTTGAGGTGTGTGGGGTTTGTTTGGGGGGTGAGATTGTGTATGGTGTGTGTTTCGTTTTGAATGATAGTTTACTTGCAAACAGGACCTTGATTTGTACAACCGTCTCTTGCATGAGTTTAGGAGTCAGTTATACCTATACCGTATAATCTTGCAGGTCTATTGTAGAAGACTCGAATTGCACCGCTGACGTCTCCACGATCAGTCTTATTTCGAGTTATATTCATTCATCCGGACTGAAGCAACGAGGATCGATTATTAAATTTTACAGGTAAGTCACATTAGTTTGAATTTTCACCATAGCTTAGCTTGAGCTTGACAGCGTGTGTCGGGTTCCACACAAGTTATATCGTCTTGTTTGACTTTGTTTTCTTACGGTGTTCCGTTTATTGTCGTTGTTGTTGCTTGTTGATCGACCTCGACCTACCCAACTCAACATCTAATAATACGCTTCAATATAGGTATGCTTTGCTGGCGCTGGTGCCAGTGCCCCCTCCCGTTTTTCGCCGATAGCTTCTAAAGGCCCGTTGCCTGCGACGTACCTTGACTTTAAACGTTTCTGTATTTTATCATCATAAGTTGACATGTGTCCTGAAAATTGATGAAAATCCGCCCGACATTTTTTTAGGAAATAAAGTTTTGGTCAAGTTGTGCCGCGCAATTTTCGCTTCAAAAAACTGCAAAACTTACCTCGCTAACATCTTCAGTTTTTAAGGAATCGATAATCAACAAAAAGCTTGTATCTACGTGATTCTTCTTTAATTTAACCCTCGCCCGTATTGGTGTTTTTCCTGGCCAGCCGCGAACGTAAAGGGGGAGGGGGAGGTCCGTTGGACCATCCCTCCCCCTTCCTGTTCGGCCCAGCGTTCGGCGCCTGATCGAAATCGGAGATAGGGGAGATCCGTGTAAGACGCCCAGGGTCGGTAAGAGGCCCCATCGCTTTTTTACCAAACCAATAATGTTATTTATTTTTTAATGTTCTTGTAAAGCAGAAGCCCTCTTGAAACAACAACTCACGAAACCTGAGGTATCAGGTGCGTCGCAGCGACTTTTGGTAAGCCTGTTTCTGTTTTTGCCCCTTTACTTGCTAGATATATGCATCTTTATCACCCTTATATATCTGAAAAAACAATGACTATCAAATGCAATCTTATCTCATCGAAATTGTCACATGTTAGCTTCAGAATAGACCATGTTCTGGTGCGCTGCAAATGTCTCATAAACCATAAATATTGTGACGTTAAAACACTGCATTTTTTTAAGAGGCCCTCCCTTCGAGGATTATAAAACGCCCCCCCGATAAAAAACGCCCCCTATGCTAAAACGCCTGCACCTGCGGCAGGCGTGGCATTCTTTTTTCAAGGAGTTTGTTTTTGTTTCTTTTTTCTGTTTCTTTTTCTAGAGGTAATAGGTACAATTTTCGTTGGTCATCAGCGTTTGGTTGTGCTAGTTTTCGCATTGTTCGAGCGCTTTGGAAGTGTTATTGGTTTCGATAACACCGTATTTGCTTAGCTTTTCGAAATAAAAGGCCTTGCAGCTGTGTTCGCAAAACGTCTTTTACAAGTCGACTTGCCTTGTTAAACGCCCGAGGGGGGGGGGCGTCTTACCATACCCATAGTGTAAGAGGCCCTTTTGCAACTTTTTCCAAAATGTTAAAGTTTACGGTTTGTGTACCCCCTAGATTCATTTTGAATGCAAATATGTATGGGAAAATGATGCATGCTCACAGCGCATGCACACGTTAGCTCTTAAATATTATCAGTTGTCTAAAAATAGCAACTGAGCTTAAGGGGGGGCCTCCTGCACCACTCTCCCCTACAGCTTCGCGAAAAAAAAAAACGAGCGTGTTGCCCGTGACGAGAGGAAGCCGATGATACCCAATTGAAAGGTCCTAGGTCATTGGTTGACCTTCCAGGTCAGGTCAATGTCCAAAAGGTCGGGAAAATCGGAACCTGTCGGAGCTTCGTAAAGTAAGGTTCAGGCTGATACGGCTTTTCGGGCTGCTGATCACGAATTTCATGTCAGTTTTGATTACAGATCATGTCTTTATGCATTTAGGCCAGGTCCGGTCAGGTGAGGTCAGGTCAACCAGTAGGCGTCGTGCCGGGTATTTAGGTATAGTAGGTGGCAACCACCACTGACTACTTCGTAACGTGTTGCGAAGGGACCAAGACTACTTCATAAATGTCCAAATGGTTGCTAAATTCGAAAGCAGCTCCAAAAACTTGCTTAGAATTATGCTCCCTTCGAAAAATTGAAACAAGGTCATCAAAGGTCAGTGACCTGACCTGACCTTCACATTACCTTGACACCTACCGTAATGCATGGGACCAACATCATTTCACGTGTTTGAACGTTTAAAACCACAAAAAGACTGCAAACGCGCGGATAACGTGAGCCGACATACGCCGAATCGCGATTCCTGACAAACATGGTCTCGAGAAATAGGCCACAGTTCAAAGGTCATTTGGATCAGGGTCAATTACTTTTCAGTGTATGTGTAGAATTGAATACCTAACTAGGGGTTACTGAAAGTTTCATCGTGATCGGCTGCTTTTTGCGCGAGTTATTCGCGAAAAACCGAGGGGGTCCGTTCGCCCCCCCCCCCCCCTCCTGCATAAGGGCGATGGGCTATATCGTAAGTGCGAGCCGCGAGGGGCTGTCTTTCAAATGGCTATATCGTTTTTTTTATTTTTGGATTTGGATCCAAAAATTTTCACAGAACTTTTTTTTTAAATTGTTACGAAAACCAAAATTTTGGATCTATCAAAACGACCAGAACATATGTTAGAGAAGTTCGGTCTGTGCGCCTTCATTCCAATTTTTAGGAGAATCGCTTTAAAGAATGTAGGACTTGATCAAATTTTAGTGACGCCTCGACGTAAAACAACACTTTGTGTATTGGACTCGTGTATAGTGTATACCAATCGTAGAATGTTTTTTAGATGTTTTCAAGCTTATTAGGTTCCAATGTGTGGTTCTTGTAACAGTGCAAGGCTGCCCCGAGGTCAAGGTCATATAAATGTATCCTTCCGGAGGCTATTTCATAGCTATGCCATTTTCGCTATCCTGAGGCCTAAATGAACTTGAACTTTTAGGTAGAGCAAAATAGATGTCAGATTCGTGATCATTGCCCACGAATACAGAAGACATAACCGTTAATGTGTCAAGGTCATCCAAAGTGATCTACGAATCCAAAGTCACGTGTTTCACCTCATCTCACTGGTGGGTGTCAAGAACCTCTGACGTCCCAGTAACACTAAACCCAGCAGGGGCGCCACTATACATACTATCCCAGCGGTGTTGTTAATTTCCACCGTATCGCCGTACCTTCCGGCGATGGTCGCTCCGCTCGAGCGCCTCTCCTGATTACATAAACCTCCGCGGGACCGGTGCCAACTGCACGCCCGTGCAACGTGACCGCCGGCGGGACACCCTGATAGACTCCAGACGGGCTCGCGAGGCGCCGGCAGGGGTGTCCCATGCGCCCGGGCCGAGACGGGCGGCCGGCCCCATGCCATTCGGCCGTCTTGAACGGCGCGCGGCGGACGCTGGGTGCTATGGGCGATGTGCTAGCTGTGTGTGAGCGTGTGCCCGGCAGTGACAGTGACACGTGGGGTGTCGTGGTAGTGTGCAGGGGCCGCAGCGCCCACCGGGACCCTCCCGGGGCTGAGGTCACCATGGTCAAGATGAGTACCGCCCCGTCGGTGCGCAGGGCAGGGCGGAAGAGGTGGGTTCGGCTCGTCGCCTTGATGGTTATGGCCAAGGGCGACATGCTTCTGATAAAATGGATAAAATTTATGAGTAGGTAGATAACTTTTGGATAATTATTAACTCAAAGTAACCAGCGATAAATCCAAAGACGTTGGATATCGGCCTGTCTTTTGCTGCATCGAGTTAGCATCGACTGATGATTTATCGATTCAGCAGCTCGAATATTTTGAGCTCCTAACTCAGCATAAATGGTTAGTCACTAGTGAAATGACGCAGATCTGATAACATTACACGTCAACGTGTAAGCACAGCAGGCATAAAAGTGCTTGGAAAAGTGGGCGTTTTTGATCGCCGACTTTCTCCAACGCCCGTCAAGATTTGCTTGTGACCCCTTAACTTCATTACAGACAACTCTATTACTTAGTGAACGGCGAAGGTTGTTGCCGCGCAGCAGAGCGCTCTTGCCCAGTTTTATGGCACATTTCGCTTATGCACTTAGAGGTTTTTCCCTTTTCTGTGCCCACTGCCCAGTTAATTCCTTTCTGGGGTGGATCTAAGGTTGACTTAATTTCGTTCCACGGTAGTAAACATTCGCCTGTGGGATATTGGCTACGGCACAGTCGCGGTTAAAGCCACATAAAGCGACTAACTTCTGCCGCCAAATGAAATTTCCTCGCAGCGTACACCTTCGTTGGGCTTCCGGCTGGAGACTGGCCTCGTGGTGATCCGAAATATCGCTCAGCTGGGCTGATGCCCTAGCAACGCTGCCAATTGATAGCCTGCTACCCCACGTTGCGCCCGCCGGCGATCGCCCGTCTGACCCATGTGACCCCGCGACCACCTGTGATCACAGGTGACACACGTGACTTATCTGCCTTCTGTGGCTTGTGTGACCTTTGACCACCTGTGAATCAAACGTTCCATGTGAACTCCTTGATCTCGAGTATACTCTGAACTCTGACATTGTGTGAAAGTTGTGTAACCTATGTAATGGTGGACTAGACGCTTGTCCTCCTGTGACCTCCAGTAACCTCTACTGACCTCTGTATTTGTCGCCAGGTTACACCATCCCTCCGTAATGGTGGACTGGGCGCCAAGCCACCGGGCGTCGCTGATGCAGCAGCTGAGTGTGCTCTCAGCGGCTGCTCTGCATGACGAGACCGCCTACCGCCGCAGCGCCGGTGAGTAGAGGACCGGATAGAGTCTGAGATAGTCTGTGACTGACTGGACGTCGGAGACAGTCTGTGATTGGGAGACTGCACGGGCCAAGTCCAAGACAGTCTGTGAATGGCAGATTGGAAGGGCGGAGTCTGAAAGTCTGAGGCAGTCCGTGAGTGACGGACTGGGAGGGCGGAGCCTCAAAGTCTGAGGCAGTCTGACGTTGACGGACTCGAGAGGCGGAGCCTTGTCTGACAGCGGAGCCTTGTCGGCGAAGTCTGACAGTCTGACGGACTGCACAGGTGGAGTCTGAGAAGGGCTCCAGATGGTTGGGTTTGGGGCTGGACAGTCAGCTGAGGTGGATACGACTGGCTGACTGGGCACAGATCATTTCCTTATATGGATGCTGTTGGATGGTTGGGGACGGAAAAGACATTTGACCGTCCTAGAGAGACTGTCAAGACGCCAGTGACTTCGTGTCGGGGTCACCCTGCTGCCAGCTGCCTTGAACCATCATAGGTAGAATCATACCACCCTGGATTATATATCTCAGGAGTTTCCAAGTGGCCTTTGTTTCCAGGGAGACTGGACTACTCAGGGGGCCGGTCTTGGGAGTCTCTCAGTCTATTGCAGCAGTTTCCAGGGAGACTTTGACCAGCCGGTCCCGGGGTCAGTCTGTTGCAGCGCTTTCCGGGGAGACTTTGGCCAGCCGGTTCAGGGGTGTGTCCCATTACAGGAGTTTCCATGGGGCCTGGGACCATACCACCCCGGGGGTAGGTCTGTTGCAGGAGTTGTTAGCTGATGACTCGTCGTCAGTGTTTATGTCTGCGGCCAACAGTGCCAGGCTGAGATGAGGCGCCGGGCCAGGATACGCTTCGACGGCCCTAGTGACAGCCATGTCATGTAATCAAACTACCGAGCGGGCCGCGTGGCTTTCTTTTCTTTCTTTTTTAATATACCGGATGGCCCAGAAAGAACGTTCCGAACTTTGGAGGCCTATATATCAAATTCGAGTACACATAAAGTGCCAAAATTTTCATCAATTTTGCGTCATTTCTTTGCGCATTGGTATGCCAAATTATAACACTATACCATCATTTTCAAGCTGGGAATCTTGGGTTGAATTAAGCAAGACGTTTTTGCTTTTTTTGCCGATGTCAAACGATAGTGATGATTTGGTTACACGTCCCATGTTATAAAAAAGAATAAAAAATAGAGCACGTGAATGAAACCAACACGTATGTTCTTATTTTAAATATTTTTGTCTCACTTATGTGCCAAATATTTAGATAGGCATGCGCGCCATTTCGATATTCTGTATTCGGAATTCAGTGAATGTTGGACATATCTAGTCCTGCGGACGAGACAGAAACAATGTTACAGAGGGAAGGCACTGCATACATGTCTATCTCCCCCCAGTCTTTGCCGGCCGGGAACAAAGACTTACATAGATTGGCATAGATTGAAGGGTGCCGTAACGAAACGACGCCGAAAGGCCAAACGACGGGTCGCATTCACGGGAGCGCGAACAAACAAATAGCCCAGGGGGCAACAAAACACAGCTTCTAGGCAACCAGAACGAGTGGACCGGCTGGAAAACGAGCCGGGACAACGATCAAACACTAAACGCGGAACATATCCGAACATCGCAAACAACTGCCGAGTTTGACAATGATAGGGAGTCAGTGGCACAGTCAGCGCGTGAAATTGGGGTCGCGATAGCGGATCGGCATTTGGCGCGGGCGATCACTGCGACGGGGACGGTCGGGTTCAGTATCTCTCAGCGGCTGCGAGCCTGGCGCGGCAGGGGGCGGCATGGCCGGCGGCGACGGCGTGGCATGACCGGGCGACAACGCATGCGGGGACACGCGATGTGGTGGTGAAGTCGACATGGACGGTGACGGCGTCACACACTGTGGGGACACAAGGGGCGGCGACGCATCTCGCTCGCGCGGGGATAACACCACAGGCGGCGATGGCGCGGGTGGACGCGGTGTCGGGGGCCTGCCACGGGGCGCCCGCGGCGGCGTCGCCGGCATCTGGCCGACCACTGGAGTCGGAGAGCCGGGGGGTTGCGCCGCAGGTGGAGAAGTGGGTGGCGTCAGTCCAGAGTTCGCGTGCGACTGTGACACGCGTGTTGGATGTCGGCGGAAGTCGTCGAGCAGTTCGTCCATTCGGGTGTGCTGACGACGAGCCGGAACAACCGGAGTGTATTTGCGCAGGAACTGCCTGTTGCGCAATGTCATTCGGCCGCTGCCGTCGACCCGGACCATGTACTGGTTATGTTGTCGCACCTCCACGACGCGGCCAGTTTTGTCCCACTTCCTGGGATATCTTCCGATTTGGTTTTGGAGGCGGACGGCATCACCGACGGTCAGTGGAGGTAGTCGCCTCGTATGTGCGGACCAGCGTTCGTGGTCCCGCATGTGGCGGTTCCGGAGTGCCTCCTCACGAGCACTCAGGGTTTCGCGCCACGTGGGATGAGGACGGTACTGACCGGGGGGTATCGGGATGAAGTCTCGCACCGGACGACCGAACACGCATTGGGCCGGCGACAGCCCTGTCGTGGGGTCGGGAGTGTTGCGGTAGTTCAGCATGGCGCGCTGGAAGCGTCGCACGTTCAGTTCCCCGTTGTCACCTGTGTTGCCTTCGATCATGCGTTTGACGGTTTTGACGCCAACCTCAGCGCGACAGTTCGCGTGTGGGAATGCCACAGAGGAGCGGCGGTGACGAACACCGTAGTCGGCCAGAAACGCCTGTGTCTCGTGGGCAGTGAACTCCGGCCCGCCATCGCTCGTCAGCTCCTCAGCGATGCCAAATGTGCTGAAGACGCGGTAGAGACAGTCTCGGAGGCCTGCGCTGCCATCTTGTGCTCTCTCAACGATTGGCCAGTTAGAATAACGATCAACGATGACGAGGTACGTACGGCCGCAGTGTGTAAAGTAGTCCGCGCATAGTTGCTGGAACGGGTACTCTGGGTAACTGATGTCCTCAGGTGGGGCCCATGGCTGCGATGGGGCGTTCCGGTTGCACGTGTGGCATCGTTCACGGGCGCGCCGAATAGCTGACGTGATGCCGGGCCAGTACACGCTTACGGCCGCGCGCGCGAGCATCATGCCGATCCCTTGGTGCGCACCGTGGAGACTCTGGAGCACCTCCTCGCGGAGGCTGGGTGGGATGACGATTCGCTGATCATACAGGATGATGCCGTCGCTGGTGTATAGGCCATCACGGAGCGAATGATACTCTCGGAGCTCCTCAGGCATCTCGTGGCGGTGGGCTGGTAGCCCTCCCTCGATCAGTTCGAGAAGTCGCATCATCGACGGATCGCCTGCCGTTGCGTCCCTCACGCGGTCCCAGGTGACAGACCGGATCGTGGTGATGGCGGCTGCCGCTACCTCGCCAGCATCGTCGACGGTGACGTCGTCGGAGAGGCTTATGCCGATGGGAGCGCCGGTTGGGTACCGGGACGCGATGTCGGGAACGCGGTTCTTGACTCCGGGGAGATAGCTGATGTCGAATCTGAACCGGAGGGTCTTTTCCTTGAGATTACGGAGACGGGCGTTGGGCAGGTCGACCAGTGATCGGTCCCCGAAAATCTTCACGAGGGGTTTGTGGTCAACAACGACCGTGAGGTCGCTGCAGCCGAGCACGAAGAAGCGCGTTTTCTCGAGGGCGTCGGCCACTGCCAGCGCCTCGCCCTCGACCGGGGCGTACCGAGATTCAGCGCCGGATGTAAAGCGGCTTCCCACCAGCGTGGTCTTCCAGCCCTCAGCGCAGCAGAGTGGTGACCGACCGGCGCATGTGCAGTATTTCTGGAGTAACCAGAAACCGATACCAGTACGGGACCAGTCGGTGGCCAGGACGGTTGGGCGATCTGTCTCGAAGATCTGGACACCCTTCGTGACCTCCTCGACGATGGTCCGTTTCGACATGTCGAACAGTGCCTGGAGTTCATCCGTCCACGTGAACTTGCCGGGCTTCAGGAGTTCCCGGAACGGCAGCATGGCATCCGCCATGGCGAATGCGTAGGCGACGTGATTGACGACCCCGAACCACGCGCGGACGTCTGTCAGGTTCCTGGGAGTGGGGAACTCGGTGATGCTCTGAAGGAAGGCATGAGACGGGCGGACTGTGTCAGGCGTGATTTCAAACCCAGCGAATTCCGCGGTCTTCTGGGCGAAGACAAACTTCTCGCTGTTCAGCGTGATGCCGGAACGGCCACACATGTCCAGCCATTCCACAGTGCGCCAGAACACCTCCTCGATGCTGTCTCCCCAGAGAAGGGTGTCGTCGATGCATTTCGTGTAGCAGTCGTGTGACAGGTTTGCCGCCATCACGATCTCGTCATAGCGGCGCGTGTACCCGTCACCGCTGGAGATGTAGCCCTGGGGTGCCGCGCAGTAACGGTATCGGCCCCAAGGGGTCAGGAAAGTGGTGAGGTGTCGATCTTCCTCGTGTAGGGGCACCGAATGGTAGCCATTCCAGGCGTCCAGTATCGTCTTGTAGGTCGACCTCGGCACAGACCGGGCTTGGTGGAAGGGACTTGGGGTATGATGCGTCTCTCTTGCGGCGCAGCGGTTCAGGGGCTGAAGGTCGACGCAACGGCGAGGGCTTCCCGACTTCTTGGAGACGACGACCATCCGGTGGCACCAGGTCACCGGCTCACCAATCGGTACGGGCTCGATGACCCCCAGCTGCACGTCGCGATCCAGGGCGGCCTTGACCTCCGTCTGCCAGTGCAGTGGTACTGGGATAGCCTTGTGGTGGGCCACTGGCTCGGCGTCAGGTCTGAGCATGATGCGCAGGGGTGGACCGTCCATCGGCGTGAGTGGCTGATGTTCACAGGTGTTGAACGTGCTCGCAGAGTAATAGTCGGCCAGCCACTGACGCAGGGCGTCGACGTTGCTCTCCGTTGCCGGCATAGGTAGCTCTGTTGGCTTAGGCGGAGGCGTCTGACGGCGAGGACAGGAACATGCGTTGTACTCGTCGATGCCGATCCCATCCGCGGAGATAGACGCGA